AACCCTATATATATATATATATATAATAGCATAATACAAGCAAGAAGAGGATGAAAGAAAAGAGAGATAGACGAAGAAAATTAAGAAAAGTAATAATATTTATTGTGTGTAAGCTGAAAGTACGTAGAACTCATAAAATACGTAAATAATATAGAGGAAACAAGAAAAGAGATATAGATTTTTTTAAGGAGATGAAAAATTGTTGAAAAATGTTTTTAAAAAAATATTTACGAATTTTCTTTTTAAACAATTAGGAAAAATGAAATGAAGCAAAATAAGGAAAATAAACAATCTTGTCATCAGCCCACGTGAATCAACTTAACACCCGACCTCCTAACTCCCACCATACCTACTTTTGTCACCAAGATTTTTTCGATGAACTGAGAAAAAGTAGATGATAGCCAGTCCTCACATTACAAATGAACTGTTAAAGATAGCAGAGCAGAGACAAAAACTAAGTATACTGTTATTATTCATAAAAGTGAACTGTGTAATAATTGCGATTTTAACCATCTCTGATCCACTTTCATTTTAAGGTGCGTGTCATGGATGGCAAGTGGCTAATTACAGAGACAGATTTTAACTAGTCAAAATATACTATTCTCGAACTATTGATGCTTTCATAAAATATATATATATATAACATATAACATATATATATATATAACATATAACATATATATATATATAAAACATATAACATATATATATATAACATATAACATATATATATAACATATTATCTCCTCGTCAGCCATCTCGTCGTATGAATATCACACGGGTCTCATTTTTTCATTATTTCTAGCTAGCTCATGTTTACACTTTTGTGAGAAAAGTTATACTCTTAAAATTAAATTTTCTTTATGTTTATGAGTAACTAATTTTTAATTTTCAAAATCGTGCAATTTTTTAAATTATATTTACTCAAAGGAATTAATCTTGCATCGTACTCGTGACGATAATATTAATTTTAATTTTTTGTATTTTAGTATCAAAAAAGAAGAAAATTTCAGCATTATTGACTTATACGATTAAAGCAATGATTTTAAATTTAATTTAAAAAATTAATTACATAGAATTCTAAATTCCTTAAAAACATTTATTTAAGTAGTATTTTTGGTCAAATCAATAGAATTGAAGGAATTTATAGCAATGTTTATTTATTCAAAAAACAAAACTTGTCAAACTCTTTTAAAATTTTTGATAAAAAAAAACAATGAATATCCAACTTATCATAATGGAATTAAATTCTAAATAAATTCATTCGGTTAATCGTATGTTATGATTATTAATGAATTTATTTACGCAAAAAATTTTTGTTACCTAAATTGAAATTCTTACCAAGTGCAAATCCAATTCGGCCAAATCTGTGGTTAAAACTCTTCTAATATTTAATAAAAATGTTAGTAATTTCTCCAAAAATCATGAAAATTAAAATATTATTATTAAAATTTGACCTTTTATTAATTACAAATTTTGAATTATCCAGTATACTATATTTACCTTACGCAAATCCATTTTCGGGCCAATCCAAGGAAGCTGACGAATCAAATTTGGTTCTGTATTTCAATAAGAATGCGTCATAAAATACATCCCACTATCTACTATTTACGCCTTTATTTTCAAATTTTATAATCTCGAAAATTAATTACGAAAATATTTAAATCATTTTTGCAAGATGTCTGTAAGTAAAAGGACGCTTGAATTTGCTGTTCGCCTTATATATTACATTTTGTGTTTTATTATTTTTTTAACATGTTTTGATTTCATTTCGATTTTTTTTTTTGGTGCTTCACTCACTATTGTGTCATATTGTGTTATATTTCTATTTATATTGTGAAATTAATTCAGGAATGCAAAAAAATCGTGAAATATTTTTCGTTTTGTCTGAAACATTAGCAAAATTTATCGATACAAACTAAAATATCACAAAAAGTATAAAATTAAAAGGCTTAGGATAGTTTAGAGAAAAGATAAGCCTTTTAAACAAATGTGATATTATACATCATATTTTCCTGATTATTGTTTCCAGATAAGTATTGAAGAGATGACTACTGCTCCGGACACGCCAAAATAATTTAAAAAACGGTAAATAACTACAAATTAAATTTCGCAAATATTTGACTCTTTTTTCTTGTTTTTTGAAAAGTATAGCATGACATAAGTACCATAAAATGGTGAATTATATAAGCCTACGTATTATTTAGAAATAGTGGTGGATAAAAATTTACTCAATTGAATTTATTAAACCAAGAATCACAATTGATAAACTACCAATTTANATATAAGCCTACGAATTATTTAGAAATAGTGGTGGATAAAAATCTACACAATTGAATTTATTAAACCAAGAATCACAATTGATAAACTACCACTTTAAAATATATATTTGCTGTCCGGAGCAAGTTGGCATCTCTGGTATTGAACGAGTTTCAAGACGAGCGAATTCTTTTCACTTGTTAACAGCACGAAAACATAGAAATATCTGTCCTACATAAGAATAATGTTACCTTTATTTATTTTTTCTAAAAATCTCTATTTAGAATTGAGACTTATAATTAAATTGCCCAGCACTTATTGCTCACAAAATAAGCCATCTTAATTATTCTCCTTTCTTTTAAATTTTAGGCTGCTCTTTATTTCAAACAAGCATATGACGCTGAAATAAAGGAAGTTGACGTCCTTTTGTTCAATAAGTCTAATGCTATCACACTTCACCTATTCAGAAAAGGCATTGACGAGTCCAAGTTTATAGAGCACGTAACAGATGGACGGGTCAAAGAATTGCACAAAGTCTCAGAATTTATCAAAATAATTTTAGGAAAATCCCAGTTTACACTAGCTTCGTTTATAATTCTAAGTGTGAGCTACAACTGGATATTCTACAGTGAAAAAGACATTGCACTTCATGAAAAGATTCTTAAAGATTTACTCAGAGAGTTTGAAAATCTGCTAGATGAAAATGCAATTTTTCTATGTCCAACTGCACCAACGACAGCATTTTATCATTATCAAATGTACACTCATTACTATAGTGCATTTTGGACTGGAGTTTTCAATTTAGTGGGGTTTCCAGCAACACAGTGTCCGATGGGGCTAAGTCAACAAAATTTACCGGTTGGAATACAGATAGCTGGTTGCAAAGGGAATGATGCTCTGACAATAGCTTGTGCCAATGAACTAGAGAAAACTTTCAGGGGATGGATTCCACCACAACAAAATCGAAAATGCCAAGAACGAAAAACCAAATAACAAAATCCAAAGAGACAGTAATAATTTCAAAAATAAATAAAAACGGAAGATCTTAATAGCGTATCTGACAATTTTTACTCTATACAAGGTAAATTTTTTTCCAAGTAGAAATGAAATGACAATACAAATACAATTGTATACAGATAATAGGTACCAGCTTGTACGGCGATTGAGAAATTTTTTCATAGTAGTAGTAAAATTAATATTTCAATTGTTCAATTTAAAAATTAAACCTTAAATTGTTTTACCTACAGCGACAGATCAATAATTTCAACATATGTATATAAGATATATTACACGTGTTAATGAATCGTTTTATTTTTTACGGTATCAATTTATGCCTAACAAAATTATGACCGAATAGTTTCGATGAATCAGCAAATGGCGCTTCGCGCCAAATGCTGAGCTTCCACACATTTCCAGCGTTCCAACGGGTTAATGAAATACAGCCACCACACAGTCTGCTGACCTCATAAAGTTCCGCTGCAACTATTTAAATAAACATGATGGATGGGATAGGGACCACTGCTCGGCCCAGATGTTCAGCTCAGTAAATTAAAGAAGAAGAAGTGTTAATAGAAATGACACAATAGACTATGACCACAAAATAGATGCATTAGACAATAATGGAGCTATTAGATATCAAATTCTACGAAAAAGCCACCACCTCCTGCTCTGCAGCAAATTTCAATGAAATATTCCTATATGAAAATTTAACTGAAGACAAGAACACCAGACCAATAGCAGCATACTATTGCAGTGATGCATCATATTCCCGACATCAATAGCATATACATAACCTCATTTTCATCATATCAGCTTAACTCAAGTTCATACTCTTACATTATAGTCTTATCACCCATCTGCATATATAATTACACATTCAGAACTCAATGATCATCTATCCACGTGAAAACTCATTTACTTCATTTGCATTCCATTCCACCACCGAAACACCACAAAGTTCAAGCTAAACACGAATGGGAAAAGCACGGCAAGCGGCTTCAGGTGTGCAGATGTCTTATACAGTTCAGTTCAGTGTTAATGAAGTAGCTTATTTTTTAGAAAAATTTTAATACCATAATTATTTGAAGACTACTATTCTGTAAAATCTTTCTCAACAATCGTACAATGTGGCAGCTATGTAGATATACTTGTTTTATTTTTCAAGAAATTAAACACACTATCTTAAGACTATTGAGCATTTATTTGTGTGCTTAATTTATTTATATGTTACGGTGGTCAAAACCCTTTTAAATTAAACTTATAAATTTGAGATATGAAAAAAACGTACATTTTACCATTACTTTATAAGAGCCGTGTTTTCTTAGGGAATACAGAGCTAGCATCCTAATGAGGTGAATTGGGTTTGAATCCCTGAAATGGCAGGTCGATACGAATTCCACACCCAGCTTGCTTCAATCACACTGCTGACGTTAGATATCCTCCGTGGTAGACGGATTATGGGTTGAAATCCCCTTGCCATCAGGCTACCCATGAGAGGTTTTCCTGGTTTTCCTCTCAATGTAACGCCAATGTGGGTTTGTTCCATCAAAAAGTCCTCCACAAGACGATTTTCCCCTAATACTTGATTCTGGAATTTCCTAGTCTTTTGGATTGGGTTCAAAATTACGAGGATACAGAGTTGAAGATCAGTAGTTGTAAACCCAAAACATTTTGTCGACTTTTTACTGATGGTTATAAAATATTACTTTATAAAAATAAAACTTTAAAAAAATTCATAAAAGTTAGTAGCTATGTAATAGAATTTGATCTAATGATCAGATTTTAATCTTTTAATTAGGATAATGAGCTTCTTGTTCCCTGCAGCTCACCACTTCTAAAGATTGCTTTGCAATAGTTTCTGTTCATTTATATAAAATCGTTTTTTTTTTCTTCAAAAGTCTAAATTATGCGCTTGAAATGCATGTATAAAAACTAATTCTATTTATTCATGCTCAGAGTTCCTACGTCCAATTATTATTTTTATGAATACAAATTTCCTATTTGTGGAGAGAAATTATTTTTCTTAATGATCACTGTATTAAAATGTTTTTTTTTTTTTTTAATTATAAAAATCTTTATTATCATGACATATTTGTTACCATTTTAACTACATCTTCAATTTTTTTCTAAAAATTTCTATGTGATTTGTGAGTGTTATATTTTTCCCCAGAAAAATTTATCAATTTTGTATTTACTAATTTACTTACTTATCCTCTACGCGCCTTGGGCACTTAAGGCCTCCAGCATATCCCTCCAACGCCTCCTGTCTTTAGCAATAGATCTTGCTTCCTCCCAGCCAGATATTCCACATTCTTTTAATTCGCCCAAAAACATGCGCTGGATGGTAAGTCTGGGTCTTCAATTAGTTCTTTTACCATCAGGGGCCCATGTAAGCGCAACAGATGAAATTTTTTCNTCTTCAAAAGTCTAAATTATGCGCTTGAAATGCATGTATAAAAACTAATTCTATTTATTCATGCTCAGAGTTCCTACGTCCAATTATTATTTTTATGAATACAAATTTCCTATTTGTGAAGAGAAATTATTTTTCTCAGTAATCACTGTATTAAAATGTTTTTTTTTTTAAATTATTAAAATCTTTATTGTTAAGTGCCCACGTTTTACTAATACAGTCATACACAAAACATATAATAAAGGTAAATATAACTATAATATAATATAAAATAATAAATGTAATATAATAAATGTAATATAATATAACAAATGTAAAATGGTTAATAAGTTTAGCCTTATATTTTTTAGCCTGTTAATTTAGAATAATAATAAAAATCAAAAAAGGTTTAAATGAGGATTAAAATTTTTTTTTACTGAAAAACAACGTAGATCTTTATTACTTTGGTAAAAGCTTAGAATTAGGTGGTCCTCTTATTTTGGAAACTTTTTTCGTTTTTGTAAAAAACCGGGGAAATGAATATAAGAAATCGCTATAAAAATAATAGGAAGATGGAAGATTTTATGTGCAGTAAAAAAACCTATAGGAACCTATAGGGGTACCCTATTCTATAATGTTTAACTTTTAATTTTATGCTGATGGCTAGCAAAGAAACTTGTTCGTCTTTCCTTAGAATAAAATGAAAGATCCTAAATCAATATCTTCATGAAAAAAAATTTAACGTATCGCACCAAACAAAGACAAATAAGAACTAGATTTTGACTAAATCTTGATTTGAATAACAAATAAAGATTCACAAAATTATTTAATTGTTTAAATTATCTCTTTAGCATCTGAATCAAAAGTTATTGTGTAAAAATTAATCTTTTTTATTCCTACATAATTGGCATTGTAATTGTTTGAAATATTTTTATAATGGGATAAAATAGCACAAATCAATATCAAGTTGAAAAACAAAAATCAAAAAAGAAGAAAGAAACGTAACGTATCGCATTAAAGCATCACCTCCTACATCTGAAAGCCTCCACACGGTTTTTTAGAAGTAGTTAAAAAGTGATCCAGTTATGCGCATGAACCCAATTTCTATTTTAAAAGTAAGTGAGAGAAATTTATCATATATATTTGAGAAAATTGAATCTGTAGTGTTTGACAAGTAAATAAGACAAACCAATCATATTCATAAATTGAACAAATTTTTATTGCCTACCACTTGCTTATTTTTACTAGATTTTGAATTAAATTGCCCTTTCGTGATCTGGTCTAACTTCATAGTGATCTGATTGAACAGCCCATAAGAAACCGTGCGGAGGCTTTCAGTTACAGGAAGCATTGACAGAAGGCAGACAAATAACAAACAAATCTTAAAAACAAAATTTTGAAAATCAAACAAATAAATAAAGAATCGAAAATTGTTATATTTTGAATTTCTTTCTAGTATCTACACCAGTGTTTCCCAAAGTTTGGTACGCGTACCCCCAGGCGAACGGAAACAGTTTAGAGGCGGTACGTGTTCTTATGCAAAATATCTTGCAACAAACGAAAATTTCAAAAAATTTTATTTACCTTTTGTTTACGGCAGGTACAATAAGTGGACCAAAATGTCTTCTTTATACAAAGAACCGTAAGCAAAATTTTAAGTTAAAAAACGAAGCTAGCTCTGAAAACTTACGATTACGTATTTTTCTATTTGTTGTTTTTTGCGGAGTTAACAGTTGATAATTAGTGGTGTCAACAACCAGTTGTGATTTTTAACATTTGTTCAATTTTTTATGGTAAAAAATACATTTAGTTTTTTATTAGTGGTACACAGCGTTACGAAAAAGTTAGAAAGGGTACACTAAAGTCCTAAGTTTTGGAAACACTGATCTACACTAAAAGCTAATTTTCATAAAAAAAAAATTTTCTCGTGTGTAATTGGCATTGTAATTCAAAAATTTCTTTTACTAAAATAGACGTTAATCAATATCAGCACGAAAAAAAAATAAAGTATCGCATCAAAAGCTGAATGTCTCGAGAAAACATTAAAGAAACCATCCCAATGTTTTTCTCTAGTCTCTCGGAACTAAAATGATTATTTCCCGGAATTCTTTATTGCAATCCGAGTCCATGCGCTTACTACAGATCGGGCACATTCACGCATCTACTCTTTCCGACGTATTCTGCAATCGATGAAAAAAGGGCGGGCGGAAGTTTGAATAGACCCAGTTTAGTCTATCTTCATATATGACTATTCCACGCTACGTTGCTTTTCATTTCAAAATGAAAAGATTGAGTTAATGGTTGTGACATTCGATTTGCTGGGCATTGGTGGTTGTCTAAGAAGACCACCATGGGATGCTGCGACTCGGATTCCGTGCAAGTATCCAGTAAGTCCAAAAAATTTCAATAAAGCTGATAGTATATTATCCTTTGTTGCTTTGTGAGGAGCGTTGCTGGCGCATGGCGCATGTCCGGTAGATTTTGCAAATTATGGCGGTTTTGTAGGATTAACATTCAATTGTAATTACCTTGTGAACACTCATATTTAAGTTTATTATCTGTAACAAAAATCTAATTTAGCATTATGACGAAATTTAAGGAGATATTTGGGTGAAAAAACTGAATTGATAAGAATTTAAGAGCTAATTTAATGAGAATTTTTAAAAACTAAACAAAAATCAATTTAAATTAAAGTAGAAGAGTTATTAAAAAAACATTCGAAAAATATTTCACGTAACATTCTTCTGAATCATTCTTGTATCTCAATTACATAAAACAAAATGCATAAGATTAGAAAGATTAGAGTCAAAAAATATTCGCTTGCAAATGAAAAAAACTATATTAGATTTTTGTTTGTTTTTACAAGCTAATTTAAAACAAATATTATTTCAATTAATTATTAATTATTCACCATTTATGATTAAGAAAAGTATAGCAAAATCATTTATCAAATGGTCGTATAGGTCGAAATGAAAATTTAGACATGGAAAGAGAAATAATGGGTTGAATTTAAAACAAATATTATTTAAATTAATTATAAATTATTCGCCATTTATGATTAAGAAAACAATAGTACATTCCTTTTTCATCAAATGGCCGTATAGGTCGAAATGAAGTTTTAGACATGGAAAAGGAAATAATGGGTTAAATGTAAAGCAAATATTATTTCAATTAATAATAATTTATTCAACATTTATGATTAGCAAAAAAATAATTTATAAAATTATTTTTTATCAAATGGTCATATAGGTCGAAATGAAGTTTTAGACATGGAAAAAGAAATAATGCCTTAAATTTAAAATCAATATTATTTCAAGTAACTACAATAATTTTTGAAGAAATAACTCCAAGTTTAGGATAAAGAAGTTTAGGATATCCAAAAATATAAATACAATTTACCAAAAATATAAATTTAATCAAAATACAAATATAATATAAATATCCAAAAATATAATACAAATATCCACAAAAATATAAACTACATATTATATGAGACAGATAATATTCTTATTAAATCATATATCAGTAGCTGGCTTAAGAAAATACAAATCCCGTAAAGTTATCGACAGTTTCCATTTCCAATTTCAGAACCCAAAAATCTTATCTTAAGACCCTTATCTGAAGCAATATATATATATAACATACAAATATTTGGTTTTTAGTCTGTACTGCTGAAGGCAGAATATTCATTTCGGACGAATAACGGAANGTTTTAAATAACAAACTTTTTATTTAGTTCAAAATATAATAGGCAAAATATTAATTTTAGTTTTAAAAATTACTGTAAATTCATA